AACATCTTTTCACTAAAGAGCAGTGTACAAACATGTGGTCCATCTCCTCTAGCTCCTCCCCACATAATATGAAAATAGGATTAACTTGTAAACCTCTAGTTCTCAGGTTGGCTTTTGTTCCCAAGAAACTATTATACACCCTCCACATAAAATTTCTCAGTTTGGGGTATACTAGTAGTTTCCAGGATCTAGACCAAATCTTCCTCTGTCTGCCTTGGTTTGAGCTTGAACATTCTTTGTGTTTTGTCCTTGTTAAAGAACCAAGCATCTCTTCATAAGCATGTTTAACACTGAAGTTCCCATGTTTGCCTTTATTCCACAAGATTATGTCTCTGGGGTTTAAAGATGCTCAAAATTGCCTCTGCTACAAATGGATTGAAGGATTGCCTAATTAATTCCTCATCCCATTCTAATCTCCTTCTAACCTTTAAATCATTAATTGAAGAAAACCTACTTCTATGACTAATAAATTAGCAAGAAGGAGTGAATCCAGACACAGTAGGTACCCAAGGATCCTTCCAAATATGAATAGATTTCCCATCTCCTACCATGTACCTAATACCCCTCTTAAATCTCTATCTCACATTAAGTCAACTTTTCCATAACCATGAATCATTATTCTTTTTCTCAGCCTAAAAAAATTGGTTTTATGGAAGTATCTACCCTTAAGTACTTTAGTAACCAGAGAATTGGGGTAAGTAAGAATTCTCCACATCTATTTAGAAATAAGGGCTTCATTGAAAGCTAAAAACAAGACTACACATCAGCTTACACATTAATCTTCTTGAATTATTTTTCTCTCTCTTTTGCTCCAGTCCAAGAATCTGTTTTATCTTTTGTCCTCTTGCATGTTTGCATGGCATGCACGAGCTGTCACGGTTTGGCACATTCTAGAGCTCTCATTCCAGCCGTTGGTTCATCTCTTAAACCCTAGGGTTTTAGGTTGCAGTAGTATATATGTAGCAGCTACAGTTGTAGCCTTTATTTTTGTTCAAGATAAGACATCATATTATGTTAGAGGTATGTTGTAAAAGCTATATTTTGCAGATTCTATCAATTCCATTTTGATCTGGCCATCATGTTTCGGTCAAAGTACATATGTTTGCAGTTTATTTATTTATGCAAATCATACTCCATGTCTTATATTGAGATAGTGTGGTTCGAAGAGTTTCGAACAGAAAGATCACCTATCAGTTCCTTATAAGACTAAACTATTCGTTTACAGTCTAGACAGGCAGTGAGACCCCTCTTGGAAAAAGACTGTAGTGTATTTTTCATTCAGTTGGTCTTTGACTGAAGGATTACACTAGCACTTATGTTAAGTGTTGAACAGGACCACGAAAGGATAAGGATATGAGACTCACTGACCGTTATTGCAACCTAGACCTTCAGTGATTGATGCGTTCTCTTAAGCTGTAAGATAATATAAAACAGGCATATATTTTTATTTTTTATTTATTTGATTTACCAAGTGATTCATATTTTATTAGGATGACATACGAGGTATTTTGGTAAGTAAGAATAATTATATGATG